TACCACCTCGCGGATTAGACAGGTGATATGTTAACATTAGTCACTTGAGAATAGTAAGTACTTGGGAATAAAATCTTGGAAATACTCCTGCTCCAAAAAACAATAATATAAACAATGATTTCTATTATTTAGCAGTAAAAAATAGCTTTCTCTAGGAGTAGCTTCCAAGAATAGCCAAGCAGCGAGTCGTGAGAACTGCGCAATCCTGTCGTGGATAATTACAAGTATAAAATAGGAGTATGAATGGTGAATAAATATTATATGTATATTCCGGGGTGGTTAAATGGATGTGTCAACTTGACGTAACTAAAACTATAAACACTTGGATATTTAATTTACATCAACCAGGAGGTACACCGTAGTTGAAACACAAAACGGGCATGCATCCCGTGAGTTTACACTCAACTTGTACAGCAATGTAACGTGCTTTTATGTGTATGCATCATGCTGACTATAACGTATATGCATAGGTACCGCTTAGTCAGTGTTTTGTATCGCAAACAGAGCTCAAGCGTAAATGGTGTGCTGTGGGTGCTGCTGGTGGTGGTGGTGGTGGTGGTCAGATGACCGCTGGGTCGGCTAATATAAGCTCCACATATATATGTATCTATATCTATATCCATATCCATATATGTGTCCATAGAATCCACCACCAGCAGGACCGCGATACTGAGCTAAGCCAAGAGAAATAGAGACCGAGATCTCCACATACATAATTGAATATGCGTTGTTGTATATCGCGAGTATTGACCATGGAGGAAATACACCCAGAATCAAGTTGTTTAGCTATCAGTGTACCCTGGAATAGAACCTGGTATCCACTTACCGGTAAATTAGTTTAAAACTTACTCCATTTATTTTTTGGTTTCATTGTTCTGGCGGAAATTGGCAACATTTGTCTGAGATGTTTGTGCTGATGGCGTTTAATTTGTATATTTAAAATCTCAGGTCGACTGCTTGGTTATCCTGGCTAGACCCCTACCAAGAGCAGGGCATTTAACGTCCAAGCGCCTCTAATTCCGATAACGTAGTCGATAAAGGCTGCGACTGACAACCCACTTTGATAATGCCCTATCTCAAGTGTACAACCATCTATTTCCTTCTCTTATCCTTTCTGTTAAACAGTATTTATAATTTAAAGACCCCAGACTCCACTTGCTATAATAATAATAATAATAATAATAATAATAATAATAATAATAATAATAATAATAATAATTATTTATTTAAATCGATAGCATATTAGTCCTCGAAATCTATTAATTTATAATCTAAAATTAATTATTTTTTTTAAATAGTTTATATTGGAGTACATTTACCTCATTAAAAGTAACTTTTTAAATAGAGTTGAAATTATTTTTTAATTATTTACCAATGTAATTATTCATTATGATATATTATTCAATGGATATTTTTAATTAGTAAAGTACTTTGCAGTGTGGTTTGTTAATTGAAATAATTTAATTAAAAAGTAACATGCTCATTATTATTATTTAACATAATGTAGATACAGTGTAATCAAAGATTTAAAAAGGCGACATGAGGAGCCCGTTAGTATAATCAATATTTTGGTTTATGATAAATGATAACAATCTAATTGATAATGTATTGATTATCTGGATAAAAAAAAAGATTGTGATATAGAATGTAATTGTTGGTATGGATATGAATTAGTTATACTGACAGGGCTACTGATTTTCTGATCAAAGAGAGAGACACGTGTAGGTCGAAGGTCGCAGCGTAGTTGTTGATTTCGTGACCTTTTACTTCCATCTACTTGTTACGTAGGTGGCTTGGATGATACCTACACTGCCAACTCCGTTGTAAACATAATAAGTAATAATCCAGAGCGGGATTATTATCAATGTTAACTTCTTGTTTATCATATTTTGATTTATAAAATATAAATATTTTAGTCAACAACTCTATTAACCCGATAAGGAAGTTTAAAGCTTGCTGGGTAGTTTAGGGTCTCTTTAAAAGTATTTAAAATTTTTTTTATCTTGGCCTTTAGATCTTAAATCTCGGCCCTGAAATCTGGACCTTTAATGACGCACCAACAAAATTATTCATGCTCAGATACTTTTTTTAGGACAGCGTTGATGAGTCGAATTTACACAATGACGAATATTGTGATAAAATTTATTGTCCAGCCCCCCCCCACCCACACACACACACACACATTTTTCGTCCTAAAATAAAGGGCGGGAAAACCGGAAGTATTTTAATTTCAACAGTGAACAATAAAGTTTGTGTTTAAATGTTAGCGGTAATTAATTAAATTGTTTAATTTTAACTATGACAAAAAAATTATAGCGTGAAATTTATTGAAAAAAAGTACTAAGAGATTTATTGTGGTATTTTTAAGAGATAAAAAATAATTTACTGAGGGTATAAATAAAATAAATAACTCGGATCAATAGTACAAAAAAAAAGAGACACGGTTACATTTGATAAATATATTTTGGCAGATTGTGTATTATAAAAGGAAAAGTTTAAATGAAAAATGAGGTTGGTAACCCCAGCAACAGAATTGTAAGTGAGTCAGAGTCTTAGAGTCTTACCGGATATGGCGTGGGGCATCACATTGTAACCCAGGTACTTGCCAGTACTTATTATTATGGTCTTAACTTCAATAGTCGTCGATAATTTCTTTTATCGTAAGCTCGGCATAACCTCATTCATTTTATTTTTCATTTAAATGCCCGTTGGTTATCGACTGTTAAATATTCCAGTGAGTAACCAAAGGTTCACTAAATATTGTGATTCAAGACTAAGTTAAGGTTAAGTGTGTTGCCAAAAATTGTTATGCTCTTTTAAAAAATTCTTACTTACAATTTTTAACAGCAACTTAAGTATAGTGTTATTTTACTTGGTAATTTCCGTCTGTAAAATAATTAAAACACACGTATAGTGTATTGATTTTTATTGTTAACAGTAATAACATCAAACATAAACATATTGTGAATGAATAGAATGTTAGTATAGTGGGTGATTATCGGCGTGAGGCATTAAAGAAGCACGTGTTATTAAACGGATCTTGTCTCGACTGGACAGGAGTTAATTAAATTTTAGTTTAATTCTGTTATAACATCCTCATTAATTATAACGGATTTATATCAGCATATGTAATAGACTGTTAGAGGGTGCTTTAATTATTTTGAATATTCGGTGATTCAACCAGTGTCATAATTGTTTTGTGAAAGCCAAACAGTTAATTGTTAACCGTTGGATTACATAAATTTTCATTTGATTGGGAGTGTTGTCATCAACTGGCGAATCATTGCTTGTGAGTACATGATACTGTTGTCGGTAATTTTTATTTATTAGCATTAAAAGTTTAGATTTCGGCCATTTTGCCGCGATCATTGGGAAATGGAATAATCGAGATAGAGAATGCACAACAGTTGTTGTTGTTGTTGTAGTATAGGTTGGGATTGTGGATTGTCGGTAGGTATAAAGAAGCATATATGTGTTAGGACTAACGTAAGCCTGTGTGGGTTTTAGAGTGGAGACTGCATATCGTTTTCTCTGTTCATGGGATGCAGGATAGGAATCCCATCTCTTCCTTGAGACTCTTCAGACTCTTCAGACCCTTCAGACATATACACATGATTTCGTTTACCTAAGTCTCGCTTGTTGCCTCCATTTCGTTTATACATATAGTATCTCTTGATCTCTTTGGTGCACTCCAACTTGCCAATAAAACGTACCTTTACTTTACTTGTGTGACGTATAGCCAAAGCTTCATCGAGTTTAAACCTAAACCTTATCTTTTACAATATCCCAAACTATTATTTCCTTCTTTTTAATTCTTTTCTTCTTTCGTTATCATTATTTAATCAACGGATGTTACAGAGCGCCTCATCATCATTAACTCTTTGTATTTTTTCGATTTTTTATCCTCAAAAAACATGCGAGCTCCACTTTTATATAATTACTAAATTTTCAACATTTTAAAAAGCTTTAAAGAATTTTACAAAATATTTTTAAAATTTTCTAAAGTCTCTTGTCTTTACTTTCAAGTATAACGTTGTAAGGTTTGTATACAACTATCGCAGCAGGATCATGAGTGTTGTATGATATTCATTAGTAATTTGTTTATGGACTGGATCGCCTATACTAAAAAATAAGAAAATTATTAATATTATTAAAATTAAAATTAATAATATTAATTTGAAAATAAAATTTTTTTTTTCAATGACGAATTTTCATAATATTTAATCTCTAAAAATTTTATGTACATCTCTGGAAAAATATAAGTAATAAATTTATTCGCTGATATACCTCTGAGAGCTTAGCTGTCAGTTTGAAAATACGAATTTTCATTAAGTAACGGGTACAAATCTTAATAAATAAATAAATAAATTACGATTAATTAGCTTCTTCTTTACGACACAATTTAAAAAAATTCTCTCGTATATGTTGTCTAAATAAAAAAAAATTAATTAACAAGTTCACTGATAAATAAATAAATGGTAAAAATAATGATTTCAATTTTGTATCGGACCTCTCGATTAAAAATCGGACCTGTGGGTCCAATGTCGGTGCTATTCGGACTACTGGGCTCTAAATGGGTTCTATTCCGGACTAGGAAGCTTTATTTCGGCTTTAAATTTCGACTCGGGTTGAATTAATGATGATGATACCCATTTAAAGATTACGTGCATTTATTTATACGCGTCTTTAGATAATTATTAACGATCAATAGCCCTCTCGTTCGCTCTTGGTGAAGGGAACGACCAAGAATCCAAGCTAAATTTGTCAGCCAATTATTAAGATTTTATATTTTACTTGATAATTCAGCAGTATCAAGTCTTATCGATGCAATAATTATGATTAATTATTGTCAAAAACAATTGTACAAAAGAGCGTTAATATTGAAATTGATATTTATTATAATTATTATGTATTATCGAGTTCTATAGATCGCGGTTATATCGCAAAAATACATATTTAAATCCTTTTGGTATAACAAAATAATAAGTTTTAATACATAAATGGATCAATCATATGTCATGCATATAAAAATAATTTTTTTTAAATTTGATTTTATTTAAAAAACACAATCTAATTAAAAATTAAAATGAAAATAAAATTGATTTAGCATTTGATAAATGAATAAACTATAATCCCTTCAATCAGGTCTCAATCCTATTGGTAATATTTTTGTTAAATTTTAAAAATAATAATAAATTATTTATAAATTTTATTTTTTTTAGAGAATATTGAACTACGATTTAAAGAAGATGAAGCTTATCTACAGAATACATTATACAATACAGTACCGATGATTATTCACGGCAATGGTCCCGCAAAGCTGGTACTAAATTCTCTCGGAAATTACTTGGCAAAAGCCTGGAATCCAGAGGAGGGTTGTTTAAATTGCTGGGATAATACAATAGAACTTTCAGAAGAAGAACAACATACTTATCCGCCTATTTTAATAGCCATTTTTATCGACAAAGCTACTCCATTTCTCGAAGAATTTTTGAACAAAATCTATCGACAAACATACCCCAAGTCTAAATTGCATTTATTTGTTTACAATAACGAAGTAAATCACGAGAAATTGGTTCAAAATTGGATTGACAAATTCAGCGGTCAATATAAAAGCAAGAAAGTTATCTCTCCATCGGATCAAATTGATCCAGCAACTGCTAGAGATCTTTCTCTGTAAGTGTCTTTGATAAAAAAAATTTTTTTTTTTTCAATTCAGACTGTTATAAAAATATTTTTAATTAATTTTTAGTAACTACTGCTTACTAAAAGAGTGCTCTGGACACTTTTTCATCGAATCAGTGGCTCATCTAGACAACGAGCACACCCTGAAGCTTCTCGTGGAACAGCAGAGGTCAATCGTGGCACCTTTACTATTAAGACCTGGACAAAGTTGGAGTAATTTCTGGGGAGCTGTCGCCGATAACGGATACTACGCCCGCAGTTCAGATTACATGGAAATAATTGAAAATAAACGCCGGTAAGTTTTTAATTAATTCATACAATTATTTTATTTTCTACAATTACATAACTAGATAGAAATAAAATGAAAACAAATATTTTATTTGAATTATAAAGAACAGTGAAGTGCTATTAAAAATAAATCATTATTTTATTATTATTTTTAGTATATTTATATGATAATAATAACGAGATTAATCGAAAGCAATTGAAAAATCAGTTTTGAATGATCGTCGATCAATGGCATACATATTGTCCGCCGTGCATTCGTACACACCAGCGTCCATCTGCGTAGCAGGATCTATTTCCAATTTTGATTTAACAGTATCATTTTTCAATTCCCACTCATGAACCTGTTTTAAATAATTTATTAAAAAATTATTTAAATAATAATGATTATGATAATAGATTTTTATACTTACATGTAAATATAAATGGGTATAAATTTCAGCACCGTCTTTGAACCAGGTAATATGAGGACGTGGTGAGCCTCTAGCCACACAAAGAAAAGCTATTTTATGTCCCAGAACGTACTCAAGATCGAAATGTGAAGCCAGAAGTATTTTTGCACCCTAAATATTCAACATATTAATTAGTGAAAATTAATAATAATAATAATAATTATTATTATTATTATTATTATTATTATTATTATTATTAATCAAATTAATTACATTATTATTGTTATAGTACTGATCACTCTCCGGATCGCGATATTTGCCGGTGATTGGTAAGCCAATCTGAACACGAGACTTGCTTCTAGCTCTTGTTTTTCCTCGACGAGCTTCTATTTCCGGACAACTTATCATCAATATCACTACCAATAAAAGAGCAATCGTAATTGCTCGTGCCATAATCAACAATAGAAGATTCGTATAATAATTTTTGTTGTTCTAAATTAAAACACTTGAGACGGATTTTTTGTATTAATTTAAATGGGTATCGACAGTAAGGTGAAAATCTCCTTACGACAGACAAATACCGCGATTTGACGGTGACATAGAACACAGATCTCTAACTGACAGTGATCACTCGTGACTCCCCTAGTTGTTCTCTCCTATCCATTACAGTAGACTTATAGCTCAATAGAAACAGAGCTACGAATAAATCACAATCGTTGATATTAAATTCTACATCCATTAGTTACACAGCAGCACTTGCAGTCTCAATCTCCCTTGTTTCATTGTTATCCACTCGATTTGTACTTAATCCATTAAACTTTTAACAAAAAATAACCCATATACATCCATACATCTATACACATATACTTACTAATCTTTTTATACACAACTATGTGTCTACTTATTGATACTCTGGGTCTTTCAATCACTAAATACCAAGTCAAATTAATTAATTATATTTTATTTCATTTTAATATATCATAAGAGTACATACATCATAACATGATGATATTATTACATATAATTTGTATCATTTTTCATAATTATTTGAGCAATCAAATAAAACTAGGGGAGATCTCGTTTATAGACAGGTATAAATTGTAAAATTGCTGATTTTTAAATATCCATACATCAAAAATAGACTGTCTATTTAAATTACTTAAAAATTATTTTTTAACGCAATATTTTTTAGTATAATAATTCGTGTATATTTTCATATTTTATTTATTACAATAATAACAATATACTAATAAGAGATCATAACGTAATCGGTTCGAAAACCCCGACGATCAACGGCATATTGGTTGTCAGCTTGGCACGAATAATAACCAGCATCTTTCTGAGTTGCTGGATCTATTTCCATTTTAGATTTGATAGTATCATTTCCTACAGCCCACTCGTGGACCTATTTGTTGTTAAAAAATAAATTAATTATCACAATTTTAATTGCAGATTAATTAAAATGTCTTACTTGAAAGAATTTGTGATGATAAAGTTCAATATCGTCCTTGTACCAAGTTATTTCTGGTCTTGGAAATCCACGCGCCATGCAGAAAAAAGTAATCTTTCTTCCCAGCATGTAATCCAATTCAAAGTGTGAAGACTTGATGATCCTTGCGCCCTTAAAAATTAAATTATTAATTATTTATCGCGTCAATTGGAGAGAGATTAATTGATAATTATAAACTTACATCTTTGTTCTCATAGTAACCACTGTTGGTATTACGACCGGGAATAATAACCGGCATCCTCGCACTGTATATCCGTCCTCTGCCTCTACCGCGTACTCCTGCTCTGCCAATCCCACCCTTAGCAGCCTCCACCGTTCCCCCGAGCATCATCACAAGCAGAAAAATAGATACAATTAACCGGTACTTCATTTGTCCTGTTTCTGTTATTGAAAATAAAATTTTGAAAGTAAGAGAAAGTAAAATAAATTTTTAGCGATTAATCTTAAAGCTAGGTGAAATGTTATAATCACTAAAATGAAATAGACATTATTTATAAATAATAATAATAATAATAATAATAAAGCAATAACACTTGTCTACTATTTAATTAAATAGTTATTTAATACGTAATGCGCGTAATTACGTTAAAACAACTTGTTATACTGGTATTGTCTGACAAAACAGTTAATATCGCCGAGCCGAAAACATGAATGGATGCAACCCGATGGAACCGCTAAGCCACAGTGTCAGAGTGTTATCAATCTCAATTGGATAATTATACACAACCAATTGCTAGTTGGGTACGACCAATCACGACACCACTATTCGACTACCTAAACATTTTCGCCTTACTATTATTAACCTTCGAAATTACTCTACTCTCCAGTTTATGCAGCTCCTGCATTAAATCAATAAAAACATTGCAATCATTTTAATTTTTAATTTTTAATTTTTTTTTTTTTTCAGAGGACTGTGGAATGTACCTTACATCGCCAATTGCTACCTAATGAACGTGACAATCATAAGCCACGCAGAGACCCGGCCTGTTTTCGTAGCCAATGAGTTGGATCCAGACATGTCTTTTGCTATCACCAATCGTCAGAAGGGTATATTTATGTACGTCAATAATCGTCTGGAGTTTGGTCATCTGGTTAATCCAGAGACTTACAATATTCAATACACCAACCCGGATTTGTATGAATTATTCAACAACAAAATTGACTGGGAGAATCGTTATCTTCACGTTAATTACTCCAATAATTTTGATGAAGACAATAAGCCTGCCCAGGTAATTTATTTTTAAATATACCAGCTATTATTTTTATGTACTATATTGTTTTTTTTTTATATTTTTAGCCATGTACAGATGTGTACCGATTCCCCATAGTCTCACCGAGATTCACCCGAGAATTTATTGAGATTATGGAAGCATTTGGTCAATGGTCTGATGGATCAAACCAGGTGAGAATGATAAAAATTAGTTATGGTAACTATAGTAATAAATAATGACTAATTGATAGAGCAAGCACAGGTGTTTTTATAAAAGAAAAATGAATAGCTAAATTTATAAACGCGTATTGATAAAATAAATTAACAGGATAATCGACTGCAAGGCGGTTATGAAAATGTACCAACGCGTGATATTCACATGAATCAAGTCAATTACGAACGACAATGGTTGCATTTCCTGAAGGAGTATGTCCGACCGCTGCAAGAGCTTGTTTTCCTTGGCTACTTCCACGATGTAAGATAAATTGTTGCTATTATTTACTACATATCTGCATGATATTTTTAGGATGATCGACTTGACAGTGGGTATGAACCAGTTCCAACGCGCGACATTCACATGACCCAAGTGGGTCTTCATGAAACCTGGCTCGAGTTTCTAAGGATCTATGTAAGCCCTTTACAAGAAATGGTTTTTCTCGGATACTACGACTATGTAAGCGTCCTAATTATTTAAATTCAATTATCAGCACCCTGGTTGAGGTTTATTGGATTTAAATTTTGAATTATTTTTTGTCAGCACATTGGTTCTGGTTCTGGATTAATCAATGTATATTGATTGCACTGTCATATAAATATTATTTTTTTTTTTCATTGGTTGTTTATTTTTACAGCCGCCAAAATCATTGATGAACTTCGTCGTGAGGTACAAACCAGACGAACAACCTTCGCTGAGACCACACCACGATAGCTCGACGTACACAATAAATATTGCGTTAAATAAAGCCGGAGTGGATTACGAAGGTGGCGGCTGTCGATTTATTCGTTACAATTGTTCAGTCACTGACACCAAACCTGGCTGGATGCTGATGCATCCCGGACGATTAACTCACTATCATGAGGGTCTATTAGTTACTAAAGGAACTAGATACATCATGATATCTTTTGTCGATCCGTAATTCAATGACCGCGCTAGTAAATAATGAAATTCAAATTACACATCATTTCATTATTTTTTATCAGTCAATTACCGGTGATATTGATAACTCACTATTATTATACGTATTATTTCATTCTGTATTATTTATACGTACTAAAAAAATTTTTTCACTGTCAATTTTTACACAAGAGACTAATTACGATTAATATTTTATAATTATAAATTATAAACCAATTTATTATATACAATATACTAAGTAATGTAAATAATTATAACGATATAAAGTGATTTTTAAATGAATAAAATATAACAATTGTTTAATATAAATATTTTTTTTTTTTTAATTTATTTTTTCCATAGATTTTTTTTAAATATTTTATACAACTGTAATATTTTATTACACAGTTTATCTAATTTAAATGAGAATGCAAATGCAGAAGAGGAAAGTTATAAGAAAATATAACAGACATTCGGAGTAAGTCTATTATTATTGTTTTTTTCTTTTTCAGTTGCATTCATTTTTTCTTTTAAATACATAAATATAAAATTAAATAATTTATTTCTTGTCAATAAAGAATTTAAATTGTTTCCTTTTATTAAATTTTATTATGCGTACGTTTAATAATTTTTATTTAAAATGTATATTTTTATATTTTCTTTAGTATAAGGAACGTTGAATCATTAATCTAATTACTATTTTAAATACACTTAAGCTTCTTATTGTGATGCAGTAACACCATTGTACATCCCTGAATGTATTTATATAATATATATATATATTTTTTACTTTTTATTATTTACAAGATAAAATATATACTCACTACTCGTGTATATTCCGTTGAATTAAAAATGAAAATTTTATAAACGTTTAAACTAATGATAATAAAATAATTTTTAATTTGTTACCGAGTTGGATGATTGTAGCAAGTATTTACCAAAGTAATATTTACAGTTGTCAAAAGATAATATTCATCTAAATTTTCATAAATTAGCAATTATATAAGTAAAAAGTAATTTTTTTTTTTAATAATAATAATAATGATTAATTAATAACCAGCTCGTTTTAGTTCATTCAATTGATGTGCCAATTTTTCTTCTTTAGTCCGACGTGCTTGCCCTAATTTACGGCACTCAATGTAGCTGCTCAAAAAACGTTCAACGTCTATTTTACGCTCGAGAAAATTTTCAGCAATTAATTCACTTTGCTCATGACTTTCATCAGCAGCCTTTTTTAGACACTCGCGTATATGATCTGGCGCAAATACTTGCGATAATTTGCTGTATTGGCTAATTAAATTATCATAATGTGCTTTAAGTTCTGATACACTTTGGATTTTCGATGCTACTTCTTCTTTTAATGCTTTTAATTCAGTCTCTTTGGATAAATTATCATCTAAAACACAAGAGCAATAAACAAATTAATTAAAAATTAACAGGAATAAATTTTTAAAAAACTTACTTGCTAATCTTTCAACGTTATCAATAGTCTTATCAATCAATAAATTAATATCCTTAAGCTGGGAATGTTGACTTAAAAAAGCATCAAGACTATCTGTTTCTTCAGCGAGCTTTACAAGTTGCTCGTTCGTTAAATTATTAAGCTCTGGAAATTCTGGACTTCTGGATACCACCGTATGAGATGAGGGATTTACTGTCATAGGTTTATTATAACTCGTGACATTATAATTGTGAGAATTTATGTAACTAACTGGCCGGTGATCACTGGAGTACTGAACAGGACTGGCAGTGCCGATCGAATTGGAGTTACCAGGACTACCAGTTGAAGTGTACGTTGGACGGTGTAGAGACGATGTAAATTGATCTTGATTTGATATGCAAGAGTTGACATAGTTGTATTTGTAATTACTGCCGCTGGAAGTTGAGTATGCCGGATACTGTGAGTTGTAATATGTGTTATATAATGTCGATTGTAACTCAGGATAATGTTGAGCACCGTATAGAGGTGATATACGTTCTTGTAATTCTGAAAAATAAATAATATTGATTATAATTTTTTTTAAAAAAAAAAAAAAAAAAAAAAAAAAAATATATAACATCTTAATTTTATAAAATTACCTCTTGATTGATTGGTCAGAGAAGCATCATCAATTAATTGAGGTGGATTTTTACTAAACTCTCTGATAATTGCTTGAACAACACGACCAAGATCGCTGTGTATTGTAAACTGTATAAATAATTACGTAATTAATTACTAAAATTGTATCATTTTTATTATATATATATATTTATATGATGAGTAATGTATCAATAAATTTTTCATTACATTTAATAACCCTGGAGCACTTGTAATTTCACTGTGCTCATTACACCAAGGATGTGTTATTGGTGGTGAAACTCGGAGTATTGGTTTTTCCAATGGAAATTCCGGTGGTAGTGATACCATAATAGCCATACGTGCTTCTCCAGCATCGAATTGTACCTGATAATCAGCATCTTCCCTCAATTCAACTACACTGTAACAATTAAATAAATAATAAAATTAATACTTTTATAGGTTAGTCAAATAATGATAATAAAATAAATAAAAATAACAACTTACTTATCATTAAAAATTTTCAATGTGTCTATCTGACGTTTTCTTTTGACAGCAGCATTTTCATTTTCTCCACGGAATATTCTTGATATCATTTAAAAGCCTTAAATTTGAATAATACATCCGTTTAATTGTCAATCGCACTGTCAAAACGTTCAAGTATTAATTTTAAATCAACCGTAGAAATAATGAATTATCAATAGTGATAATTATGATGAAATATTCACTCAAATTTTTAATTTTAATTGTTACTAATCACTAAAAAAAAAACTAATATGAGCTGAGCTCATAAAATTGAATGGAGAACAATGAAGTAGTGGAACTTAAAAATATATATACTTATTATATACAACACTGAACAACTGAGCTGACTCTGACTTGCTCTACACTACTCCAGCAACAACAGATACTTGTAGATGGATATCAATGAGAGACGGGAGATCAAGGTGAAGTGAATTCTATCTGGGACTCTGGGACTACTTGACGGCTAAGGATATCTAAAGGGGCCTTGGAAATTTCATAAATCTAATCAGCCGACTCCGCATACAACTCTTACTACTAATTATTTATATACATACATATAAAAGTATACTAAGTATTTAACTTATTCTCTTAAAATACTGTTGTTATTATTATTATTATTATTCAAAGCAATAATTTCTACAATGGAATTTAGTTGAATATTCTCACACCAGAGCAGTGAAATCTCATATTTTAAAGAACAAAAACAAAAAGTTGCGCCATCTTTTAGTTTATTATCCAGTTAAAAATCAGTAAAATCTTTGCGTAGATTAAAAAAAGTACATTTTTCTTATAAACTAAATTGAATATTTACTTTTTCAATAAAACTGGTAATATTTAGAGTATGACAGAAGATAATAAACGGATTTGTGATTTATTTAAAATACCTTTAAAAACAACCACTAAAGCCAATGTGAGTTTACTTGTTTTTTTTTTTTTTTTTTTTGTTTTTTTTTTTTTATATCAATTATTTATAAACTAACAATAAGTTAATTAATATATAGGTATTAGAATGTCGAGTTTGCGAAGAAGTATTTTCAGTAGACGGTGGAAAAGTACCTCGACTTCTTCAGTGCGGTCACACAGTTTGTCACACTTGTCTTTTGAGACTCCAATCATGTATGCTGGACCTGTCATTCCTGCTGTGTCCATTTGACAGGCAACCAACAGCAGTCACTCATGAAGGAGTTTACAGTCTGAAGAAAAACTTTGCGCTGATTGAACTGCTGGAACGATTGGAGCAGTCGAACGCTGAAAAGTCTATAATTTTAGAAAAAGAACGTCTGCAATCTACCCAGTCCTGTGATGAAGATGAGTCTCATTTGGCGGTTCTTTACTGTACCATTTGTTCCTCACACTTGTGCGAGGCATGTGATATTCTCACGCACTCGTCAAAAACACTGGGAAAGCATAGACGAGTCCCGCTGTCTGAGAAGCCGAAAGAAAAACCAAAGTGTCCAATACACACAACACACATCGCAGAGTTTACTTGTGTTCAAGAGGGCTGTCACAATGCTCTTATGTGTTACTTGTGCAAAGACTACGGTCGTCACAGCGCACACAAGCCTGCGTTGCTTGAAATAGAAGCTGAGAACGTGAGGAAGTCTATTGTCTCGGCTTTGCAGAGGATGACGCAGTTCATGGAAAATATGCGAGACACTGCTCATAAAATAGAAATAGTCATTCAAGAGTTGGAGGGCTGGGCGATTGATGATGCCAGGCACAAAGTTCGTCAACATTTTGAAGAACTGAGAACTCAATTGGCTGACCAGGAGAAAGTAGCGCTGAATTGCGTTGACAAAGAGACAAGAGGGAGATTGTGTGCTCTGAGACAACAACAAAAAGATTTAACTACTACAAGGTCCCAAGTCGCTGATGTTTGTATTCAATGCGAGAGTATTCTTGATTCAGAAGATTGGAAACTGTTGACTGGAGCTGAGAAAGTTAAAAATGTACTGGCTTCTTTGGAGCAGCAGCAACAAAATTACAATCAACTTGGTCCAGATTTTCTTACCCCTGAATCTTCTATTCCAATTATATTTAGCAGGGTTTGTAAATATTATCAAGAAAATATTTATTGATATTTTTAATTTATTGTTTAATTTTTTTTTTTTTTTTTTTTTCTTTTTAGGATAATAGAGTTCATATTGGAACGAAAATTGATATGAGAGTTGTTATATTGGGCCTAGATGGTTCAGGAAAGACAAGCATTCTCTCTGCAATGAGAGGATTGACTCTGTCAAGCCCACCAATTCCTACGATTGGTTTCAACGTCGAGAGTCTCGAGTATGAGAACTTGGTGGTGACCTTTTGGGATGTCGGAGGTCAACATAAATTTCGGCCACTCTGGAAACATTATTATCATGAAGCCCAGGCAGTGATTTTTGTTGTTGACTCGAGTGACAGATCGAGATTTGAAGAAGCTCAAAAGGAATTGTCTAAAATTGTCAGCAAAAAGGAATTGAAAGACGCGTTGTTCCTTATTTTCGCTAACAAACAGGTAGACTATCTTAAAGTTAAATTGTAAATTTTTGAATATGAATTTTAAATATTCTTTTCAGGATGTTGAAGGATGCACCACTGTTGAAGAATTAACGGACATTCTTTCTCTACAAAAACTATGTTGTGGTCGAGTTTGGCATATTCAAGGCGCGTCGCCGTTGCTAGACGCAAATACCCCGATCCAAGGTTTGCAGTGGCTAACTCAACAACTTGGTGCTCATGAAGCTCTCTGTACTAGCTCTGTACCTTAGAATTACTTTCCTTTAGGCTAAAGTTGTTTTCCATAAGACTTTTATATTAATCTTAATAATTGTTTTTGTTTTTTTAGTAATTTATTAATATTCTAATAGAGATTATTTCATAATAGGAATTTTTGTGATTGATTTTAATTAATTATAAAACTAGAAAGAGGAATAAAAAAATTCATATTATTATCTAGAAAAGTTTTTTTTATTGAAATGATGATTATTGAGTGTTATTATTTATTGGTGTTACCACCGCATTCAATAGAAATTATTAATTATATTAATCAATAATCATTCAATCATCAATCACATTTTTTCATGTACACTTTTTTTCAATCACTCTTCCAGAATTATAAAAGGATTTAATTAGCGAATCGTAAATTATAAATTGTACGAAGATTGACATTCTACATACTTATAATATATATATATATATATAATATTTATAATATATTTATAGCGATTAAATTAATATATTTTTTTTTTTTTTCAGTATTTCAAATTATTTATCTTTTTAATATAAAAACACTTGACAAACAAAAACGGAACAAATTATAGTTTTTGGAGCTGCGGCAGGTGGGAAGGACACCGATAAAATTATCTGAATAATTTTTTTCAAGTCCCGATAGATTATTAAGTAACGACTCGGTTAAAAACAAAGAAAATAGTACGTAAACAAAAGTATAAAAACCGACACAACCCGAAACTCAAGTTTTAACACTTAAAATTTCTTCATAGCAAGATAGTAAACGTTGACTAGGTTTTATGTTTCTCATCTCGCTTTACCATCGTTGTCCTCCGAAATTCTTCACTGCACATCAGTGTAAAATATTTTGTTGGCATTCTTTTAATTTTTTTCCTTTTACTGGCAGTTGTACGAAAAAGCGAAGACTATACTGAAGAAAATCGGAGGAGAATGTATTACTAAGTTGTTTTTTTTTTTTTTTTTTTTTTTTTTTTTTAAATTAAATTAAATTAAAATTATTTTATAAATGGATTGTGTAATGCTGGAAATAGCTGGTGTGTCTTTTTCTTGCCCAACAGCTCCTGGAATACAGTCTGCTTCTCATGCTACGCGCGACATATTTTTTATTTACAATTCGTCGTGCTCCTGAAAACAAACGAAAAATCCATTGTTAATAATTTAAATAATTAACAATATAAATAAACTTATTTATGAAAAAATGTCATCAGAAACGAGGAATTCCACTAAATATTTCGCTCATGCGTTTCAGAAGTGGTGTATCATCATGAAAATAAAACAAATCAATAAATTAATACTGAAAAAGTTGACTGATTACCTCAACTTCTGGTACGGTGTTGTCTTCATCATCCGCATCATCATCATCATCTTCATCATCGTCTTCTTCTGGGGCTTCTGGTTTCTCCGCCTCCATTGATTTTCTTTCAGCCTCATCTTGAGCTTCTTTCATTTTCTTTTCACCTTCCTAATAACACAAAAAAAAATTACAATTAATAAATATTGACAATTAAAAAAATAATAATTATGAATTATTAAAAATCAGCAACGAGGAATTCCAGCTTTTCTATCGCTCATTATAATCAGCTATCGCTTTTATCATCATTTAAAATAAATATATTTAGAAAAAAGCTAAATAAATAATAAGAAATACTTACAAAGTTTGGTTTCCAAATGTCTTCGGCGAATTTGCTGGCGGCTTCTGGTTCATCAGTGATGAGAACGTTGTCGAAGATGGTTCCAGATTTGACTTGCCAAAGATCGAAACCAATGGCGCAGACTTCGTCTTTCTTGTAGAGTTCTTCGTCCTTAACGTACTCTGGGTTGTCAATTTCAGGGTGGAGCCATGGTCCTTTGTAAGCTGGGTTGTCAATTTGCTTTGGCTTCCATTCACCTTTGAAGTCTGGGTTGTCGATCATTGGTGGTTCCCATTCTCCGTCCATTTCATCGTCCCAGTCTTCTGGTTTGGTGGCTTCAGGGTCGGGGATAGTCTCAGGCTTGTCCCAGTCTTCGGGTTTGGTGTCTTCTGGGTCGGGAATGGTGGCACGGTCATCCCAGTCTTCTGGTTTCTTCTCATTCGGGTCCTTGATTTTCTTGGGTGGTAAGAAGTCCCAGTCGGCTTCAAGTTCTCCAGACTCTACCTTTTCATTGTCGATAAGAACCTGCATAAAATTATTAAAAATTATTCACATGCTGATCCATTAATTATTTTTCATTTCTTATCAACAAGCAGTAATTAAAAATAAAGTACATAACAAATGAATAATGGTAATATTGGCCTTCGCTTTATCCGTGTAATTACGATAAAAATTTTACATTAGTTAATTTAAACGAGACAATCTTTGCTTTTCGAGTACCCTCAGCACCTGTACTTTACCAAATCAAAAGAACATGAGACTCTGGGCTCGATTTTTATAATTATAAAAAAAAAAAAATTTCACATTTTCTTACCTCGTAAGTGTTGTCTGGTTTTACAATCAAAGTGTACAAGTGAGTGTACACGTCGTCCTTGCAACGAATGTCTTTCTTGATCAACAGATTCTTTCCCTTGTAGTTGAAGATTACGTGAACTTTCTTGGTTCCAGGTCCACAAATGTCAGGTCCAAACATAAGAAGGTATGGTGTCTCTCCGTGCATGTCCTTCTGGTCCAATGAACAGTCGAAGACTTTCACGTAGCCACCACCGCAATCGATCATTTGTTCATGCTTGACGGTGAATTGGACAACCAATGGCTTGTCCTTATTCGTGAATGGCTTGAACTTATTGCTGAGAGCGTAGAACCTGGCATCTTCAGTTGTTTGGATACCTAGAGACCAAATAAAAAATTAGTAACAAGTCTTTTTTAATAATTAAAAATTTTTAAAGACTAAAAATACAGCTGTGCCTGCACAAGGTACCTGATGAATGTATAATTACAAGCTCAGGGCATAAGCCAGACCTAATATGATCTCCGAGGTCCTGTAGCACCTACCATTCATTTTGAATGGCATGTGACTCTAGGCTCGGGTTATTTTTTAACATCAAGCAAATAAGCTCCACATGCAAATTTTAATTTTGTAAAATTAATTTATCAACAAAGATAAATAATTACCTGTGTCTTGTAATTCTTCGTGATAGAATTTTCCAGCAGTCCGCTTGAACTTTCCGAATTCTTTGCCGGGATGCTCGGAGTATACCCAGTTCTTTTCCCATGAATCTATTTGTCCAAACAATTAAATACTCCATTATTAATAAAGTTTAACTTTAATAGAGTTATTATTTTTAATTATTTTGAAATATAAAAAGCCGATGGTTTGAGAATTGCTTAATTGATTTTGCCACGTGGTTATGGAGTCATGTTTCACGAGCAGTGACTCAGAGGGAAAGAAATCGTTCAAGAATCAAGGGGTTTGAAGCTTCCGGTTGAAAAAGCGATCCGGGGTTCTAAGTGGGGGTTCTGAAGAAGAAGAAGAAGAAGAAGAAGAAGGGATCGCCTCTGTCGTGGCAAAACGTTGATGTGAATAGGCCCTTACTGTCGTGTTATTGAAAATAGTATTTAAAACCCGGTTTTGATTTCCAGACTATTGCTAATAAAATGACAAAAGATAAAAAATGTCATTATACGTCACGAGTACAACTTTTATCCTATCACTGAAAAATTTTTATTTATTTAAATAGTAAAATTCATTGTATTTATTTTAATTTAATAATAAAATGTTCAAAGTATCAATATAAAAACTGAGAATAACAATTCTTGCCGGTTACTAGGGTCAATCTCTTGATTTTTTTACCAATAATTTTTATAAAAACGAATGATAACAATTAAAATTAAATTACTCCAATTGTTTACATAAAGTATCATTGAAATTTTTAAATATTGAAGCGAATTTTTTAAAATATTGAAGGGTGTGGTTAATGTATGGGAAATAAACTTGACAAGCTTGTTAAAAAATATCAGATGGAGAGTAGTATCCATAATGATAATGATTCCAATTAAAATAGAAAGAATAACAATAATAATAATTAAAAACCCGGCTTTTTGAAAGTAATTATTTAAAATAAATATTACTCACCATCTGAAAATCTTTCTTCGAAGAAAACTTCAGCGGACACGGTGGCAATTACGGCAATTGCCAGTACAGCAACGAGAGCTCGCATTTTACGTGTAATTTTTATAAATTATCGCCTTATGAAGTACAAGAACGAGTGACGACTGAACGATGTGTTTTTATATCTTCACCTCAATAGCATACAACTAATATATACGTATACTATAACGTAGAGACTTGTTACTGGATAATGCCAAGAGGCGAGTTGTGGTTGGTAAAGTACTGACTGACGGGGTAGACAGATGGAGAACACCCATTGGTTCCACTCCGGGAACCAATCAACGCCAACCACGCTTAAAACTATCACTGCAAGTCGAGACAATATTCCACTAGCGGACAACTTGGTTACTAACACTTGTGTCAAATGGAAACTATTTTATTATTTACTGATATGACAGCTGCCGACATAATGATATAATTACAAAAAATTATTCGCGGTCAATTGCTAAGCTTGTAATATTTTATTTTTTATTCTTTTTATTTATTTATTTATTTATTTTATCAAGTTTTTTTAATTTAAAAATTTTTTTAATTATCTTTCTTAAAACTTGCATGAAAATGAGGGCATATATTTATTTATTTATTTATTTATTTATGTTACAGATGTTTTTTATTGAATCACTGATGGTTGCTATGGAGATACAAATATATACAAAAGTTTAATTTTAATTAACATATAAAAATCAGAAATAAAAATATGGAATCAAAAGCACAAGCTGCATTGAATCGCTTAAAAGAAATTGATAAAAAGTACAAGCACAAAAAAATTTCTAGTGAAAGTTCGAACAGTAGCGATGAAGGTAAAGTATTACGCCCGACATTAAATATTAAGTTACCGAATCCTTATGAGGAGTATATTGAATCTAATTCGGATGAAAGTGAACATGTTGCTGTCAGAGTTGTTGATGACACGCTGAAAGCAAGATCTAGACAATCCAGTGATGACAACTCCGAGGATGCTGTTAAATTAGTCAAGGAAGGTGATGCTAAAAACGTTGAAGATTCATCAAGCAGAGAAGAGATAAGTGAAATTATTGAAGATGTCAGCGAAACTATTCAGGAAGTCATCACTGATAAGTCTTTCAATGGTCATTTCAGCCTGGACGATGGAGTGATTGGTCCTGAAGATGCTGGCAAAAATGATTCTGATGAAATTTTAACTGATAAATACTCTGAATCTTTTGAAAGTATTGGTTCAGATGCCACTGAATCTAGGTCTGTTAAAGTCAAGAAGAGTACCAGTGTGTCTGAAAGCGTAGAAACAAAATCTAGTAGTTTAAATAATTCTAGAAGTAATAAGAGCTTGGAGAGTATTGCATCCGGAAAAGTATCTGAGAAGGTACTGAGTGAAGTTGAGATTGAAAAGAAATTATCTTCTGAAAGTATTAAACTGTCTGATATTGTTGAAGATAAAGATGAAAATAAATTGTCAAGTTTAGAATTAATCGAAAATAACTTTCGTAATGAGAGTAAAAAGACTGAAGAAAAATCAAGTAGTTCTAAGTATGAAATTAGTAATACTAAACGTTCTAGTCATAATTCTAGTGTTGAAAAGTCTAAGAAAATTTCTGAAACAATTCAAACCATTAGTGATAATAAATTTAGAGTACCAACGACTGAAAGTGATGATTATATTTCTGAATCAACTAAAATTTCTAGTTACAAGTCAATTGTTAAAAAGAATAAAAAAAGTTCTGATTCAAGACAATCAGTGAGTGATCATGAATTTATTATTATGTCCAAGTCTGAAAACAATGACTCTAGTTCAGAGTATATCAAGAGTTCTAGTCATAAATCTATTGTTAAAAAGTCTAGAAAAAAGACTGATGTTAGACAAACTGTTAGTGATCATGAAGGATACTCATCATCGAAAAAAAAATATCCAAAAAATATTCCGAGCAGTTGTCAGAATTTAGAGAAAAAACTTATACAAAGTCATCATCATTTTAAGCAAGAGCAGCAACGCTTGAACTCGGCGATGATTAATTATATTCAGAAGATGGAAGAAGAGCATCAGAGACTTCTAACGTGGCCTAAGAATTTAATTTGCCCATCGAGAGTTAATGTCAAGACTGTGAAACCTTTAGAACTTCCTCATATTTCTGGATTTGTTCGACCTGGTAACATATAAATGTTTGTTTTCGTATTTATTTATTTATTCAGTAATTTAATCTATTATTTTTTTTTTTGTAGACTCAAAGGTTAACCAAGACGAAGATATAAACATGGAAATACTTAGAAACCGATTATTGGACATTCGTCAATGGATAAAAGATCAGTATTTAATATACAAAGAACATTATGATTTAGCAGAATCCTTAAACAAAACTTGTACTTATTAGAAAATAAAAATAACAAACCATAGAATTTATGAATATAAATTCTTTTTAATGATATGGTAACCAAATTTATAATGTCTCTTACAATTATTAATAGTAATAAAAAAATAGTATCTGAGCATGAAAATACTTAAGTATAAAATATTTGGCATGTAACTATTAATTTAATCAGGTAACAGAGTTGAGTTTCTGTTCTTTCTAAACCAAGTAATAACATCTTGTTGAAATCCATCATACTCAGGAGCAATGTCTCTCAAAGTTACTAAAAAATTATTACATTAATTAAGGATAATAGTCTAATTATAATTTAATATGATAATGATAATATTACCTTCTATTTTCTTAATTACTAATAAACCTTTGATTTTCAGTCCATTATTTCCGTCCCAAGTAAACTGAGCTGCTAACTCACGAGAAAAAATAGTTTCAAGGATTCTAAAAACACTTTCATGAATTTTTTCGCCATCAGTTAAAATTCCGATGAGTTCTTTCTGTAAAATAAATTGAGAGAAATTTTATATCAACAATTAATAGTATCTTAAATATTATTAAATGTGAAAGAGTTAGTTACAATTGCTGGAGATATCCAATCTTCTTGTAGAAACTTTATTTCAAATGTTTTTAAATCTTTGTAGCTTTTAATCGGCAAAAGCTTTTCTAAAGTCGGTTTTACTATTTTAGCGTGAGCTTGTTTAATTTCCACAAGCATGTCTCTTATCTTCTCAGAATGACTAAGTATCTCATTGAGCTTTTTAGGTATCCCATAGGAATAACAATCTGTAATCCTAATTTGATTCCCCGTAATTGCGACTTCTCCCTTTAATTCATTGAACCGTTCTGTAATATACAGCATAAATCAATATAAAATCAGTCAATATAAAAAATAAATTTTAAACTTACTATCTTCCAAATCTCGACGGTTTAGTGTATCAGCTCGAACTTCAGCTTCTTTTAAACTACCTAAAAATTATAAATTTATGATAAGAAACAATTTTAGAATTAATTGCAAAAAAATTTTAAGACTTTTTCTAACCATATTGAAAATTATCAACTTCGTCAATGTCACACAATTTCCAGCCTTTAGTACTGCCATTAAAAATTATTTTGTTTGATTTTTTGTACCATTGATCATTACGAGGCCACCAACATTGATCATAATCATCATCATCGTCACTGTCATCATCATCATCATCATCGCCATCCTTTCGAGTTAGCCACAGTTTAGGTACTGTATCCCATGGATCTTTACCTTGATAAAATTTTACAACGTAATAATCTGACATTTTCCGCAAAAATCTAAGAAAATAACAAGAACATCATTATTGTTCAATATCAATTAATAAACATAATTGTATTGTTAATTTATAACCTTAATTACTTACACTTTATTAGAGATGAATTCTTTTGAAAATGTAAACAAAGCTAAAGTAAGCGAGCGCGCTTAGAACGGATTTGCTTTATCTACTGTACTTTTACACTATCAAGTCTCAGTTGGTATTGTTGAAACAAGTGACTAACGTATAATAATAATAATAATAATAATAATAATAATAATAATAATAATAACAACAACAACAATACTACATAACAAAAAAAGTAAAAAAAAAGCGCTGGATCAATTCTTACAAATTCTATCTCAAGTTTCATTAACAGGGAAATATATTCTCTTTCGATTCTGAGATAAATATTCATCATCAGTATCAATTACTCTCAATTATTTTTCTTAAAAAATTAATAAATATTTTACAAATATTAAATTGTCTAATTAACAGCTTTCAAGTAAGTTTTCACATCTAACCAAGATAAATTCATAAAAAATAAATAAAAAAAAAAAAACTATTGCGCTGCCCATCTGACATAAATGCGCGCGCATATTATCAACGAACATAGAACAGATACTAAACAAATTTAAAAAAGACAAGCAATAAAAATTTGATGTGTCAGAGCAAAGAATTCTTTTCAACTCGACAAGTTTTATCCTGTACATACTTGTTTCATGTTGTTCAGTTGCTTTTACAAGCAAGGTAGTCATTCTTCATATAGTAAATTTCAAACACAGAAAAATTACGCTGCATGATACGTAAGTGTGTGTAATTCTGCAATACCAATCCAAAAGTCAATAGTTCAGTCGTCGCAATGTCAATGTGTAGAGATTGTAAATATACCCTTACATATCAAATTTATAAATAAATAAAATAAATAGTTACACATCAATTACGTTTAGGTCTTGCTGGATGATCCTAGATGTACATTAAAACATTAAAAATCAAAAAATTATTTAATGTTTAATTTAAAACTGCCATCTTGTTGAATGATGACGCAACCTTTCATGCGGATATGTTGGATATATCTCTTTATCAATTCCTACATTAGCGCGACTGCTGGTATTTAAATCTCTCATCATATGTATTGTAAGTTGAGTTGGTATAGTGACCTTTGTTTATTTTTTATCCAACAGAACAGTTATGTAAAATAAGATCATAGATCTGAAATAAAAAAAAAAATAATTAATTTTACAAAAAGTTTATAATTAAATATTTTATATGAATTTTTATATTTTTCAGTAATATATTTAAAAATATAAAATTTAGCTGGCTGTCGTATATGGGCGGTAATATTGGACCCACGGCGAAAGTCATATTTCCTCTTGTCTTCCCCTCGCGCAAGAGTATTTCGAACGGTGACTGCGATGTTGCCAAGTCGTAAGAAGAGTGACGGTTAATATGCTCGTTGAAATTCTCAAGTTAAACCCAAGAAATCCCGCGCCGGAAAAACCACAAGTCTAAACACGCTTCATTTTTTATAATAAAATTATCTCCTGCACATACCTGATGTTCGTGATTCAGCGCTTCGTACAAAGATATTACGCTTAGACACCATCATTTTTTTATTTATCCTCTTTTAATGTCCTCCATATGCTGACCTATTTTTGTTCAACTTGAAAGTACGTCCTGATTTTTATGGATTTTTTTTTTTGCGCAAGTAATTAGCTATTAAAATTGTTTTCAAATGTTCATAAACAAATATGTCAACTTCAAAGGTTCCATATATTAACATTGGATCATCATCGACCAAACTGTACATCTTGGTCTATAAATAAATAATTAAATACTTTGTTTTTTTTTTTTTTTTAATAAAAATATTCATCAGGAAATAGTTTAGAATTTTCTAAACAAATTAAAATTTTTTTTACAGGAAGAAAAAAAATTAAACCCTAACTCGGTTGCGAACCCACGACTTTTAGATAGACCCAATATTCTTCAAGGTAAATTATAAATAAATAATTAAGAAAAAAAAATTGAATATTTCTCAAAAATGAATTCTAAAAAATAAAAAATTTGTTATCAGTGAATTAAAAATTTAACGATTGTTGGTGATAAAAAAATGAGCGATGACGGAAAAATAATTCGAATTGAACCGCGAGTGGAGTAAAGAAAAAATCAAACCAATACAAGAATAAAGAAAGGCAAGTAAGCTAATTGTAAGTATGACAACGTCGCTCTGCGTGCGGGCTATTGCGCAGACGAGTAGGTCGACCAACACAGCCAAACGCAAGAGCCTGGGAGGTCGTAATAACTATATATATATATATACATACACACAGCAACAGATATAACGGAAGGTTCTGGCCATCGGGGTTTTATATTAGCTTCTACGCTATCTATCCCACTTACATCACCACTACAGGCCCGCGGAATCAGTCAAGCAACGTGATAGGCTGAGGATATAAAAGTTTCCGCCGCTGTATCAAAGGATTGAAGGCGACGTACAAGATAGACAGAGACAGCGGTGAGGGTAAAAAGAGCAAGAGGGGCCAGTCAGTACCTACTCATCGTGTTTTCCCATTTGGCTCTCTTGCGCGCAAGTCGAATTCTTCTTTACACATGTATGTATGATGTACTTATCAGTGTTGGAGAGTCAGAGACATGCTTATGGAGGGGAATAGAATGTATAATGTAGTGAGTATAAAGTTGGATTCATTATAAATGTGTAAGTTGAATTATTTATGTACATATATACTAACTATACACTGTCATGGCTCTTAGGAATCATTAGCAAGAGAAGGAACATCAGCAGCAGCAGCAGCAGCAGCAGCAGCGACCCCACCACCATTTTACTGGCAGTAAATTTAATACGCGAGGTTTCCGCTCCAGTCTGTGTGTTCTGTGTTACAAATACGTGGTCATAACCCAGGCCAGGCCATCATCAGAAACAGAAACTCTAAACGTTAGACTTGGCTTCGTATCTATATTGTAGATACTAATAATAATAATAATAATAATAACAATCATAATAATAGATACAATAATATTTTAGTGATTGATACCACTCGGTATCGTGTACGGTGTGTTAATATACTTAAAATAATAAAAAATATCAGTGTGCTGTGTGAGAGGTGATTCATAATGCCGTTAAGCATCAAGGTTAACCTCCGGGTTACCGGACACTGTAACCAGGGCGGTCGCAAATATATGGAGGACATGTTCAGTGTGGCATACCAACAAACTTCTGATGATAAAGACCTGGAGTACGCATTTTTTGGTATTTTTGATGGCCACGGAGGAGGCGAAGCTGCTAAATTTGCCAAAGATCACTTGATGGATATTATTGTTAAACAAAAAAATTTTTGGAGTGACAAGGATGAGGACGTCCTACGAGCTATTAGAGATGGATATGTTAATACACATTATGCTATGTGGCGAGAATTAGGTTTGTATATATATTTTTTTTACTTTTTTAATTTATTTAAATTTATTTAATGTTTCTTGTCCGGATTGTCCATGTGAATATTTGTCATTGTAAAAGTAATCTCGTGCCATTGTGTGTGCATCATTGTCCCGCGTATTTCCCCCCCCCCCCCACTTTGATATTCACTTTAGAATCTAGGTTATGTAACGTGTTGTTCTAACCTAAAATATCAATATTTATTGTTTATTATTTATATTTGTATTTATAAAATACACATTGATTGATTGTAATTAAATCCTGATAAATTATGCAAATTTTATGAATTTAAAATAAATTTTTTCATTAATTAAATCAATAAAAAAAATAATAATGTCGCAGCTTTTAATTAACGTTAATTACTCTTTTTATGACAGATAAGTGGCCGAGAACTGCGTCAGGATTACCGTCAACAGCTGGTACAACTGCCAGTATAGCTTTTATACGCAAAGGAAAAATTTATATCGGACATGTTGGAGATTCAGGAATAATCCTGGGTTATCAGGACGAAGATGATCCTCAGTGGAAAGCGAAACCACTTACAAAAGATCATAAACCGGAGAGCGGACCAGAGATGACAAGAATTCAAGAGTCTGGTGGAAAAGTCATCAGTAAATCAGGTGTACCGAGGGTCGTATGGAATAGGCCTAGAATTGGTCACAAAGGACCTGTACGAAGATCTACTCATATTGATGAAATTCCATTTTTAGCTGTTGCACGATCTCTAGGTAATTATATTTAAATAATAAATTACTTTTTAAGGTATTTTTATAATAATAATAATAATAATAATAATAATAATAATTTATCTAACTGGTGATAAAAATTTTCCAGGTGATTTATGGAGCTACAATTCAGAACTAGATACTTTTGTTGTCTCTCCTGAGCCTGATGTCAAAGTTATTAAAGTAGACGTTAAATCATATCGGTGTCTTATCTTTGGCACTGATGGTCTTTGGAATATGCTAACACCTCAAGCTGCTGTGGCAATTGTTCAAGCTGCTGAAAGACACAATGAAAAACATTTTATTGCTTCACAACAAACCGGAAATCTTTTTCAGGTATTTAATTAATTTTTTTTTTTTTTTTTTTTTTTTAATTCCTTATTATTATTATTATTATTATTATTATTTTTTAATTAAAAAATAATAATAAATATTTATTTAATGCAGGGAGAGTCACAGATGTGGATAAATCCTTCCAAAAGTTTAGTCGATCGGGCTCTTGAAAGATGGTCATCAACACGTCTGCGAGCTGATAATACAAGTGTCGTTACATTGATGATAGATCCACCTGGACCGTCGCGCTGTGAAGTCCTGATGAACCGTCGCCAAAAAGAGCATGTACCTTCAGCTCCAGATATGATACCAACACCTGTACCGCTCCATCCGTGCAACCCGAATTTCAACAACATTGACATTAACAAAATCCACCCTCCGATGGCGAATGTTGTTGAGCCTCCAAATCCTATAGCGACTTCGCTAAACGTACAAAGTAATTCTACAAATGAAGAGTTTAATCCAACTCTAAGTCCTTCATCTTCTTCATTTGGACTCAATGAAAATTTACCTAGCGATTATAATTTCCAAGAAAATAGTGATAATAATCGTGAATCGTTTGTTGACAATAGTAGATATGATAAAGTTAATGATAACGATAATAATAATGATACTATTTTAAGTGAACCAAGTGTTAAAGAAAGTACAATTATGGAGAATATTCAAGTTGCTGAAATATCTTCCTCTGACATAAGTAGTGATGATAGCCAGATTTTATCTGGTGAAAATACTGTTGATGAAAATAAATCTGTTGAAGAAAATGCTGACGTTGCATCAAAAAATATTCCAAGTATCAATGATCGTGTAAGTGAATCAATTGTAAATGATTATTCAATTGAAACTACTGTTACAGAAGAAAAAATATCTGACAAGCATGAAGTAGAAAATACTGACAGTCAAGATTATCAGTTGACAAGAGGAGATGCATTTTTTGGCTCTTGGGATTCATTTAACGGCAATGGATCTAAACTAAGTCGCTCAGCCAACTTTAATTTAGCAGATTTAATTTCAAGCCCAACGCCAGTAGCAGAAATCAATTCTACTGAAGCTGACTGCAAAAAAGACCAGCTCGACAATCCAATTCCTAGTCCGAGTCTCGAAAAACAACCACCTGATTTATCCACCAGTGTAAATAATTACGACAAAGTTGAAAATGAAATAAATTCAGCTCAACAATCGCCTCAATTGATGCCAGCAACATCAACATCTAGCTCGGACGATCAAAAGATGTTACCTCCAGCATCATTGGACTCTTCTTCTAGATTAAAGCGACGTCGTGAAATACCGCTCAGACCGGGTTCAACGCGAAGAACTAAGGAAATGAGTTATAATAAACGTAGACACAGTTCTACGTTAGACGAAGCTGACGACGCTATTTGTTCGGTGCCAGAAGCGCCTAATTTGAAACGTCGTACGCGCTCGGAAGACAGACGGTGCGACGTAAATGGTCAAACTGACGAGAATAATCCAATAAATCAAGAGCAATCGCAACAGCAACCACTGCTAAATGACAGAGTACGTCGCTGGCCTGGCAATTCACGTCGCTCAGAAGTCTCTAAAATAAGAAATGTTAATTCTCCAACGACATCTTATTCACCACCAACAAACACCAGTACTTCTAACACTCGTGAAAAAAGTGAAAAAATAACCGTATCACCGACATCATTCCAACGACGTAGTCTTGAAAAGAAAGCTACTCCGGTTAAAACGATAAGAAGACCCTCGATAAATGGTTCAAGTCGAGTTCAAATCAGAGGAAGCTTTGCACTGAGAGATTGGGATCAAACGAAATCAAATCTTGGCCGTCGACGTGGTGTCCGCACTGGTAGCTGCTCGTCTGACAGATCTAAATTAAATCGAGTTATCACTGACAGAAATTCTATGACAGCTGATCCAACGACGTCTTCCACGACACCTCAACGATGGCTCAGATCTGACACAATAGCTGCTATTCCTATTAAAACATTGAGATCCCGAAATGTCGATATTGCCTCCGGACACACAGTGCCTCCTCAATTAGCTCATCAGTACAATTATATTAAGCAGAATCGGCTATCAATGCCACCGCCTGGTAACACCAAGCTTCGAATGTCAACTACGCCGGCAAAAGTTAAAACAACAGCGATTACGACAATGTCACCTGGTCTGACCACAGCCGGAAAATTGAAACAAACTGGTGGCAATATTGCAGGAGCTAATGGATCATCGGCTTCTGTGTCAGCAAACGTACCGGGAATTGCTAAGAGAGTTAAATCGAGTCCTTACAATCCGAGTGCTAGATCGCTGGGTACGCGATCACGTCTCAAGCGACTCAGTAAATAAATAATTATCGTGTAGATATTAATAAGATAAATATATACTTATAATTTTTTTTTTTCTAATTAATAGATGCTAATTAAGTTAAATTTGTTTTCCTTTTCAAGTTATTAAATATAGAATTTAGAGATGAATATATTTTGCTTTTTTTTTTACATTTTTTTTTTTTCAACGATATACATTAGAACTTGTGATTAATATCGGTTCTAATTTAAGCAGGTTACTGGCGCTAATCATTAAAATTAATTTCATATTTTTTATTATAAATTTATATCATCTTTTCATATATTCTACGCGACAATATTTATCTCCATTAATCATTTTCAACATGTATATATATATATATATATATATATATATTTTTTTTTTTTTTTAATAAACAGTAACACTTATTACACAGTCACGTAAGCATACACGGTTTGAATTTAGTGCTCTTTGTGTTTGATATTAAAATTAAAGTGGCATTTTAAAATTTAATATCTTGTAAATCTATATATATTTACAATATGTTTACGAATATAGAATATAGAGATAATTAAATGCATCTTTTTGATATCAGATCGCTATTTAAATTATTCCATAACTAAAACGATTGTGTGAACAGTGACAATTTTGAGTAACTTTTTTTTATGATTTTTAACGGAACATGCCACGAAATACATTGATATTATTAAACAAAAAAAATATATATATATTCTGAATGCATAGTATATGGAATAATTAAAAAAATAAGTTAAAGTTATTTAAGCGAATGAATGTAGACAACAGAATTGACAACTATCACCAACAGTGAAAAATCAGTCGAAAAAAAAACAAAAAAAAAAAA